TCTGTCTTCATAGCGTCGGGGAGGTGTAATTTGGGATGCTCCTCCCAGCCTAACTGTTTCCCCACAGCCTCTGCAGAGGATAGACAATGACGTGGACCTGCGAGGGGAGCAGCACCCCATCGCAGGCTTCACCTACCCTCCGTCTCACCACGCTCCCACGCTGTCGCCCTCCATGCCGCTGCATTACCTCCCCCACGACCCGCTGCACCAAGAACTGCCATTTGGCGTGGTGAGTGCCCATCCTGGGGAGGGGTTGGGAGCGCTGTGGGGCTGGCATGGCTCTGAGCACCCCATCTCTCCCTGCAGCCATACCCCCATATGATGCCCCGGCGGCTGAACACCCAGCGGTACCGGCTGCAACAGGCGCTGCCCCCGCCGCCGCCCCCGCCGCCGCCTCCTCCCTACTATCCGAGCTTCCTGCCCTATTTCCTGTGAGTACTGCTGGGGATATTCCAGGATGCATAGGGCAGGGGTGGCACTGTGGATGGGGGCCACAGTGGCACTGTGTTGGCACAGGGGGCTCTGCCCCCTGGGGGTGCCCGGGTGGACTTTGGGGTTTGTGGCCCCATGCTGACTGCCCTGTCCTTCCCCCCTCCCCAGTTCTATGCTTCCTGTGTCGCCAACGGCCGTGGGCCCCACGATCAGCTTAGACCTGGACGTGGATGATGTGGAGATGGAGAATTATGAGGTGCGTCTGCTTGGCTTCCTCGCAGTGATGGGATGGGAGAGCTGGGGGGGTTTGCTGATTGCTCTGCTGGGAGGGGAGAGCCTGGAGGTGTGCTGTGCCAGAACAGGAGATGAGCTGGGCCGGCCTCTGCATCTCCCTCCAGGCACTGCTGAACTTGGCCGAGCGGCTGGGGGAGGCCAAGCCACGGGGACTCACCAAAGCAGACATCGAGCACCTCCCGTCATACCGCTTCAACCCCGAGAGCCACCAGTCTGAGCAGACCCTGTGAGTGAGCTCGGGGTGCACATGGGGGGCCTGGTGGGGATTGGGGCCCGTGGCTGGCGGTGGGGCTGTACTGATGGCTGCTTCCCCCAGGTGCGTCGTGTGCTTCAGTGACTTTGAGGCCCGGCAGCTTCTCCGCGTCCTGCCCTGCAACCACGAGTTCCACGCCAAGTGTGTCGACAAATGGTTAAAGGTACTGCCTTGTGCCTGCTGTGGGGAGCAGGGTGGCTTCTTGGGGTGCTCTGGGTATGGGGTGCTGCCTTTTGGGTGGCTTGCATGCCCTGGGAGCTGGGGCCGAGCGCTGTGCAGGGCTGGATAAGCCACTCTGGGATGTGGTTCTGGCCTTGCCGGTGGTGCCGCTCACCTGCCCCGTCTCTGGTTGCCCGCAGGCAAACCGCACGTGCCCGATCTGCCGGGCGGACGCGTCGGAGGTGCAGCGGGAGGCGGACTGAGGCTGGCGGGCGCTGTGCCGCACAATTCGCTAGAGGACAAGGACGCCGGGCTGGGGCGGGGGCTGCTGCCCGCTGCTGGGGCCTGACCCTGCGCTTACCCCCCCTCCCCAAAGCCTCTCCTCGGATGTGGTGAGCATTGAGCAGTCTGGGCTCCCGGCCAGCCCTCCTCCTCCCCGCCGGGGCACGGACTCAGCCGGACGCCTGCCCGCTGCGCTCCCAGGGCCCCGAATCGTGTTGTGCTGGAGGCGGGAGGTGCGTGGCCGTGCCCTCTGCGCTCCAAAGACGCTGTTGTTGCTCCATCACTTTCCAGGTCTTTGTACTCTCCTAGGGAATTAGTGGTTTTTCCCTTTGTCACTATTTTTTTTTTTTACGATAGTTTTTTTTCCCCCCTTGTTTCTTTTTCGTTTCCGTCATGTTTTTGGTTCCTTGGCCGTTTGCCCTAGGGGCACGCAGGCGGCTCCTCCCCTCAGCGTTGCTCTCGGAGGACGTGGGGAGGAGAGAGGAGGGAGCGCTGCGGGTTTGATGCCGGCAGCACCCCGGCCCCGGGGACAGCCGGAGGAGGTGGCTGGCGGAGTGTGGCCAAGGTGGGACACCAGCAACCCCGCGGCGTGGCTGGGGCAGAAAGGCAGGAACACAGGAATGCCTCTGTCCCCGCTGCTGTGCGCAGCCTGGCACGGCCTCTCTCCTGCCTCGGCTGCCCTGGGGAGCCCCAGAGGGCTATGGCTGCTTGGGGTCTTTCGCCAGTGGGAGGATGGTGCTGGCACAGCCCTGGCCCCTCTCCCTGTTCATTCCCCTGTGCCTGGCCAGAGCAGCTCCCGGGGCCAGGCCATGTGGCATCCCACAAGGCAGCAAGCTTGAGGAGGGGATGCCAACCCCATCCTTAGGGCTTTGGGCATGTGGTGTCCCCGGTGTGCTGCCCGGCCCCTGCTCCTGCTTGTGTATCTGTCCCGACGATGTAAATCAAGGTAGCCCCGTGCCCCGTCCTGCTGGCTGGACGGCGCGGTTTCCCCGCCGTGGGCAGCGAGGGGCCAGCTGGGCTGCGGCCCCCAGAGCGGGGGGGTTTTATTCCTAACTTCGTGGAGTATCTTCAGTGCTACCCTGGCCTTGGCCCGGCTGGTGCGGGGGAAGCTGTGAGCAGTCCCCTTGCCACCGTTTTCCCCCTGCCCTTGCAGGAGCTGGGGGAGAAGCCGCCACGCCGCCGCCCGGCTCCATCAATCCCGCGTGGCCGTTGTTTTGCATGATTAATTAGCGAGGAGGGTGACGGGAGGCGGTGGCAGGGGTGGTGGTGAGAGCACCGCCCTCCCCTCCCGGCGCGTCGCCGACGCCTGGGAGCTTCCGAGCGGACGCCAGCCCTATGTAAATGTTCACAAATATGCATGCATGTCTGACCAGCTTGGAACGTGGTCTTGGCTACGTCTAGCCGGCTGTGGGGTGAGGGGGGTGGGGAGAGGGGTTTTTGTGCTCAGCTGATACTGCCATGCACTGTACTGCACATGTCCGCAACGCCACAGCAGGACCGTGAGACTTTCAGGGCCGTGCCGCGGGGTCCGCGCCCGCGGCGGCGGCGTGTGCAAGGGACCGGGGTGGGAGGGGGCGGCTCCCCGCGGGGCGGGGGGCAGGCGCGGGGCTGGCCCCCGGCGGTGGCTCGGCCGGGTGCGAGGTGAGGGGCCGCGCCTGGCACACGGGTGGGCACGGTGGTGTTCCCCACGCTGAGGGCCAGAGGGCAGTGCCAGCCACCGGTGGGCCGGCCCCGGACGCTGCCCGGTCGGGCGCGGGGGGTGGCGAGCGGTGCGGGGGCTACGGGCCAGCTCCCCCTCGCCGCCCTTGCCCACCTCTCCGGCGGCCGCCCTCTGTGCCCAGGGCACATCGAGGCCGAGGGCCCCGGCCCGGCGCCGCCCGCTCCGCCGTGGCACGGGTGCCGGCACCGCTGGGCTCGGTGCCCCTTGGGCAGGACCCCGGCCCCTTCCCCGTCCCTCACTCAGTGACAGATAACCAAAGGAGTCCCCGGCTTCGCGCCCCCGGAGACGCCCCCTCCTCCCCTCCCGCCCTCGCGGTGCCCAGGGAGCCAGGAAAGCCTTACGGTCCTTTGACGGCGACTCGAAAGCTCACAGCTCGTGTGCTGCAGAATTTATTCCAATGAGCAGCTAAAAGTATCATTTAAAAAAAATAACAAAAAGAAAAAATGACAAAAAAAAATACTAAAAAACAATTATTTAGGGTGTTTGTGATTGCTGACTGCGCTGTAGATACCACTGTTTACCAATGACTTCCTGTGGTGGGATAGTGGACTGTTTACTGTTCTATTATACCAGTCCCCGGGCCCTCCGGTGGGACCCCGCGTTCCCCGCGGCTCCCCGGAAGGTGCTAGGACGTGTGTTCTGTGTTAGAAAGTTTTTATATATATATATATATATATAAATATATATATATAATTTTTTTTGCTCTGTTACTTGCACATTTTACAGTTACCTCATTTTTCCCATGTATGTATTTGAAAAAAGGCTAATATATAGAAAAAAAAGGTTCTTAAAGCTCTAAAAGTGTTTGTTTTTTTCCATTCCATTGGAATCATATTGGTTTTGTAGCATTTAACATAACTAGTATGTTGTATTATATATATGTGTATTATACTGATTGAAATTTTTAACAGATTTGTACTTTTTTTAAAATGAAAGTTGCTAGTTCTGCTTGACCAAGTAGTGCAATCATTATTTTTTTTAATGTTGTGGCTGATTTTGAGAGGGATATTCACTAATAAATGTATGATGTATACCAACACGCTGGGCCCAGCTCTTGTCTCCATGGGGGCTTGAGGGGAAGAGGGGGAGCCAGGGCTGGGAAGGAGCTGCCACAGCTGGAAGGGCCCTGGAGAGAGGCTGGGAGGGTCCAGGAGAGCCTGAGGGTGGCAGCAGGGACTGGTTGGATGCTTTGCCCCAGCTGGGTCTGGTTTTGAGCAGCACCACACACCCACTCCTCACTTAGCCACCCCTCACAGCTTGCAGAGATGGGAAAGTGCCCCTGGCTGCTATCCCGGGACAGCAGAGCTCCCTGAGTGGCTCCCGCCACAGCAGTGGGACACCTTCCCCCTCTCCTCCATCCCAACCCTCCAGCATTCCCATGCTGGGCCAGGGAAGAGGCTTTCCCTGTGTTCCTGCCCGTGGCAGGGGGTGGAGCGAGAGATGTGCTTTGAGATTCCTTCCACCCTTAACCATTCCTGGCTCCAGAACAGGTCCCTGCAGGAACAGGCTCCCCCTCTGCCTTCGGGCAGCTGCTGGCACAGCTCCACAGCCCTGGCCGAGCCTGGGGCAGGGACCAGCCTTACACCTTTTCCACCTCCCACCTGCTCCACGAGGGCTGACCCAGCCTCAGCAGCTCCTTCCCTCCCTGCTCCAGAGCTGATGCCACAGGAGGTGGCCCAGCAGCACCCCAGCCCTGCCCTGCCCCGTGCTGGGCCCGCTCTCCTCTCACACAACAGCTCCATTGGCACAGAATCACCAGTGTGAGAGCAGCAGCTGAGTGCACCCACTCTGCTGGGAGCCTCGAGGCCCACAGCAGCCCAGCCCCTCCCTGGGCAGGGGCAGAAAGCATCAGCACAGACATGCTAGAGGCAGAGTTTATTACACTACGCAGGCTAAGAACCCTGGGCAAGGCCCCACATGGGTAAGAATCGAACCAGCTCTTTATCAAAAAGTTAATACTATAGTCAACCCCAATCTCCTTTGGTCATTACAAAGCAAGAGAAATATTAAAAGAACAGTATTTATACACAGAGGGAAGCTGAAGAGAGTCTGTCCAGCCCTTTCCCCCCACCCCAATCCCAGCACGGTCCGGTGCTCGGTCTTGTGTCTCTCAGGAGCAGCAGAGTATCAAATCTTCACAAGATGTTGGGTTGCTGGGGTTTTATTATTATTGTCATCAATAAAAGCAATAATTACCAAGAGCTGCCATTCCTGTTCCTCCCCAGGGAGGGTGGAGGGGCAACACCAGCTCCCCCCTGTGTGCCCCCCGTGCAGGGGATGGCCGTGCGCTCGCGTCCTCTCGCCAGCGCACGCAGCACAGCTGGCACAGGCCATGTGGTCTCTGATCCCTCGTTTGTACGCAGTCTTTTAAAAAAAATATTGTATTATAATAATAATATGAATTTCTCTTTCCGTTTTGTGTCTTCTGGAAAAAAAACCAAAAAAACAAAAAAACAAACGAAACAACAAAACAAACAAAAACAAAACCAAAAAGAAGTGTCAATCGTCCGTGAGGTCCTGCACAAAGAGGACTTCCGTGTGGCTGAGTCCCGCCTCCTGCAGCGTGGGAGGGTTGGGCCACTCCTCTGTAGGGAGGCAGGGCAGGACACGGCGAGGGAAGTTGGCCTCAATCTGGAACTTCTCCGGGCTTTCTTTCAAGGAGAACAGGAAGTCGTGGATCACCTGGGAAAGACACATAGAAGTTACTGCCAGCTGGGGGAGCAGTGACACAGCCAGAGTGAATCCCTGGCATCTCGTGGGGGAAGGTTCCCAAATTTGCACCATCACTGCACTGTACACCTGAGACAGCCATTTCCTTGGCACACATGAAACTGGGCTTGGCACAGAGCACTGGGGAGACCAAACACTGTGTCTGACTCTTCCTACACCTATATTTCAGAGGAAGCAGTGGCATTGCAGAATGTTAAGGGTTGGAAGGGACCTTAAAGATCATCTAGTCCCACCCTGCCCTGTCATGGGCAGAGACACCTTCCAGCTTTTCAGGAAGCAACAGAAGCTTCTTCCACGTTTTCTCCTCTTCCAAGCTGGTGGAACCAGGCCCTACAGCACTCTCTTTACCAAGGAGCAGCTCTGCCTGCCAAGGCTCTCAGCAAAGGTCACCATTTGGCAAGCCCAAGGGAAAAAAGCCACCTGCAAGTCCTTCAGCCCCTAGCTCTGGAAGGGCCCCCAGCTCTGCCCCACGCTCACCGTCAATGACTGTGTGAAGTGGAATCGCCGCTCCACTCTGGAATCGTTAGGCAGCTTGAAAATGATCTTGACGCTCTCGGGGTCGTCGGGATGCGGCTCTGGAGGAAGGCATTCCGACTTCCTCTCCTTCTCCTCCTGCAGTGTCTGCAAGGCAAGGGGGGAGCAGGAGCAATGGCTGTGCACTCAGCTGACCTTTGTGCCTGTCCCTGCTGCTCCAGGAGCCTCAGGAATGCTCAAGCCCCAAGCAAGACAAGCAATCCCTACTGCAGGCCAGGCATCCCACAGGACACTGCAGCCCCTCTGCTCTCACCTGCCGCCGCCTCTCCTCTGCCAGTTTTTGCTGCTGCACTTCCTCCTCCTTCTTCTTCTTCCTCTCCCTTTCCTCCTTCTTCTTGCGCTCCTTTTCCTGGTCTGCACGCAAGGATGCCAGATATGCCTCGTCCTGCTGCTGCCTCAGGACTTGGGTTTGGTTCCTCTCTTCCCTGCAAACACGAGTGGGAAGTGGTCAGGGCTAACAGGCCTAAGGTGAGGGGATGGCACCCAAGGGTGCAGGGACAGCCTCCAACTCAGAGAAGCACACAGCAGGCAATGCCTTGAGGTACCACAAGCTCCCAAAAGGCCAAGCCAGGTTCCCACAGTCCCTCACACTCAAACTGCTTCCCAGGGGTGGGTAGAACTGAACTTAAAAGGCATTCTGAACCTCTGCAGCTTGTCAGAGCTGACAGATAGCACAAGAACAGTGCCCAGGATTCCTGCCTCATATTTGAGACTCTTCCTGGTTTCATCTCCTTCAGGTAATTCCTTGCACATTTTATAAACTGGAACGTGTTACTGGGTCCTCACACAGAGCATGGGGCAGAGGAGGGAGAGACATAAAGTCAAATGTAGGATCCTGTTTTGGATGCAACCTGTACATCCCTAAGAGTCACCAGGGACTTGTCAGGCCCCACCAGAAAAGCAGCCAGAGTTCAGCACAGCCAGCCCAGGGAGCAGCACAGAGCTGTGGACAGCAGCTCTCCTGCCTGCAATGCCCTTGCTCCCACTTGGATCCTACTGGCTATTGTCCAAGCTTTCCCTGCAAAGCTCCAGCATGCCAAAGGTGTGCTCCAGTTGCAGAGAACAGAGTACTGACACCCACCTTTCAGTGGTGGGACTGTGCGTGCAGCACTTCTGGCTCCCTGGCTATAAGATGGCCTGACTTTGTGGACTGATGATCCCCCTGGCAAGAGGAGAGCCCATGGGCTGTGTTACAGACAGGAGGTGCTGAGCTCTGTGCCTACACACGGTGTCTGGAGGGAGGAAGCCGTGCCACAGTTTGTGCTGCTGGAGCTGTGCTCCCACCCTACCTTTCCAGGCGCTCGGACACCAGGTACGTCTGGTTGGCATCCATGATGAACATGAGCTGGTTGATGAGGTCATCAGCCTGGATGAGGCCTTCCAGCCGCCCCACCACGGTCATCCTGCGGTCCTTGAGCATGATGACAGCCAGGAACGGGTACGTGTTCTCCCGCAGGGCCTGCGACACTGCCAACAGCACAGGCGTCAGCACCCCGGCCACCAGGGCCGCAGCACAAATGCCTCCCAGCACGGGGGGCCAAGGAAAGCACCTTCCCCAGACATTCTCTCTTCCAAGGCAAAAAAGGCCTCAGGCTCCATTTTGGAAATTATACCCTGTAAGCTGGCAAAGGGAGGAAATGGCTTTGGGAGCACAAATACTGATGGGAAAAAACCCAAGCTTACAAGTAACCAAAAAAGGCTCTTTTAACTCGAGCAGGAAGGAAGTAAATGGCTCTGAATGTCCATTGAAAATGGGACAAAGCCATGGGTTTAAACTGCAGGAAGAGAAACACAGGACAAGTACATGTAAACATTTGCTCAGGTGATTAGGGATGGTTGGGCTCTGGAAGAAACTGCCATGGGGGAGATGGCAGTTTGTCCACATTGAACATTCCTGAACAAATTTAGGTTGGCTTTGCTGGAGGCAGGCTCTGTCTGAAGCAGGGAATGGAACAGATGATGTGATAAGTTACTGTTCACATATGGCTGTTGATCCCCTCCTTAAAACACACACGGTACATCACGCAACTTGGAGCCTTTGTTACCAATGGAGCCCCAAACAAAATCACAGCAGCTCAGGGATTAAACAGAAGGTCACGATCCCTTCCAGCTCTGCTTCCCAGGCTGTGACTCCAAAGCATTGCAGCAATGAAACAGGAATAAGTCAAAGACTGTCTCCTCAGAGAGCTCTTCTCTCAAGTTGTTGATAACTGGGAGCAGAACTATGGAGCCAAGAGTGACCCAAAAGTAGCATTTTCCTGACCATGAAACAGAAATGGTGGAAGCAACACAGGAGCCATGAACAGAACACTGGGAAAAGGCTCCACTTGCAACAAATCCATACCAAAATGCTGTCTGGCCAGGTATCAACAGCTCTCAAACACTGTAGGCTTTTGAGGAGACACAGAGGCTGGTTGTGGATTAAGGTGACTGTTTCAGAAAGGGAAAGAATGCAACTAACAAGTCCTCCCTGGCCTCAGGCGCCACAGTGTTTAAGGACAGATCTAGCTGGATACTTGTTTCTCCACCCAGTTTATCCCCAGCACACACCCACCAACTCCCATTGACAAGGCACTGAAAGCAGCCTAAATGCCCACAGCAATGAGCACAGAACTACAACTGCCCAGAAACACACAGAAGGGTGGAGGTGAAGATCAGAATGCATTTCTCCGGCATCCAAACCTTTTGAGATATCCCAGGAAGCCAACACATGTATTTCCCCATGCAATCCTGAAATCTGTTGTATTTTGTTCAAGAGAGTGTTTCACATGTGTAAATTTGTCAAAGAGCATCTGGCTTGTTCCAGAGACAGAAGGGGACATGTAAAGCCCAGGAGGACACACTCACCTCTGTATCCCTCTGGTTTATTGGTTGAGCAAGCCCAGAAGAGCATTCTAGTGTTGATGAGGGTGATGACCTCAGGTGCACACAGCGTATTGCTGGGGGATGAGAAGAGACCACGTGAGGGAAGCTGCATTTCCAGTACAAAGACAACTATTTGGGAAATTCTCCTACCTACCGGCAGAACTCATCTGTGTCCTGGTGGTCATCCCCATGAAGATAAACCAACAGGAAGCGCAGCTCCCGCTTGGCATCGTTCAGGGCCTTGGCACAAGAGCAGAGGAGGTAAAGTTACAGGATGTCTGGGCAAGGGGAAGGCAGCACCCACAAGGCTTGTGTGACCCAGGCCATTACTCTGCCACTAGAGTGGTTTTAGTGAAGCAGCAGTGGAGGATGAACCTGTCAGACCTTCTGAATAAACCTTTATTTAAGAGGGCTACAGTGGTGTTCTCTCGTGTCCTCTCAGGATGTGGCTTTGGGGAACACTGAGCTCAGAGTGAAGCTGGGTAGGCAATGACATGGACTGACACCTCAGCTGCCTCACCAGACTCAGCTAGCAGTGAAGAACCTCCTGCACCCCTTGACTCCCAGTGGCCAAGGCTGAGCTTTCCCTTGAGCCTGCATGGGACACAATCTTCAGATCACACCAAATGAAAATTCTGTTAAAACAGGTAATAAATAATGCTGCAGGCCCCCCAAAAACCAGACAACAAAGAAAAGCATCTCTCCCTTTCCACATCTATAGTGTCTGGATTCCACCCACCCAAGAGCATTTTTAAGAAGACCACAGGATAAGTGCACAATATGCTCCCTGTTTTACTGGCACTGAGTTTTGGTAGCCTAACCATTCCACAATTACTTGAGTCTGCATTCCAGGAATGACAGAGGAGCCTAGAGGAGCTGCAGAGGCGGTGAGCTCCACCACTGTGCAGTGTGGAGCAGACAGGCACTGACACTTGGGAAGCAGTGCTGATCCACCTGTCTGATGGGATGCTCTGCAGGAGACCCTTCCCTTGGCCAGGCTGAGAGAAGCTGTGCAAGAGGCAGTGTCCATGGGGATGTCCCTCTTTACAGAGAGCCCCCTCAGATTTGATACATGGAACACTCACCTCCCATAATTTCTTAGGGGCTCCCTCTCAATTTTGAGGCCCTGCACTGTTGTGAAGTTGCACTGTGATACAAGCCCAGGCAGTTAATCCCAATTTGGTGAACAGAAGGACAGACTCTGGCACAGCACACCAGTTTATAAAAACAAAGGCAGGATTACAAAGAAAAGCTGTCGGCTACAGAGTCACACAGACGGTCGAGGAACAGCCAGAGCAGCTTTGCTTTCCAACTTTGCAGGCTTGGCAAACCATCAAGCCTGGCAGACACTGGTTTCCCAATACACTTGTTCACTAGCTCTCCATTACCCTGTTAAGAGAGTTTGGGGATAAATGCTAGGCTTGTAGATGAAAAGCAATTTTGCCATGTAGGCCCTGATACCATGTGGCAAAATCACCACTCCCCAGCACCTCTGCACCAACACATGACACTGACCTGGCTGTAAGTCCCCTGGTAGAAGACAGGGTGTATCCTCCCATACTTTTCCTCAAACATATGAATAAACGAAATAATGTCACCCACTGGGTCGGTGACCCGACTACGAGGATCAGGGCGTATAAAACGCAGAGCAAACCTAGGAAGGAAGCAAAGGACACTGGAATTTCAGCTCACTGACTTCTTGAGGCACAGGTTTTCTTTTCTACAGATAGTCACTGGGATTCACAAAGAGGAAAAAAGTCATAGCTGAGACCCTTGAACATTTATAACCTGAACCTAAACTGACATCCGCTCCAAACTGATACCACTGCTACAGAACCAACCCCAAGGAGGATTCATCTCATGCCAGGGATCAGTAAGGATCCAAGTTCTGTGTGATTAAACAGTTTCAGCTTCCTCTGAAGCATCAGGCATAAGCCACACCAACAGCAGGAGGTTTGAAGAATTTAGTCAAAGATGGGCTGTTAAAAGCCACACAGTTTTGTCCAGATAACTTTGAAAACTGCATTTTTCCTAATCCAGAACTAAGAATTCCAATGTAAAAAGAGTTGCAGGAAGAGAACATTACACTATGAGTCCTATGAAACTGTCATTCCTCTGAAGCTGAAAAAGCTTCACTGCAAGGCAGATATCAGTGTTGTTTAGTTCTACTGATGCACAGAAGATACACTGAACTTTGGAAATGTCTTTAACGGGGAAAAAAAAGTAATATAACAGGGAAAACTGCCAAACCAGGACAGATGGCAGGACTGCTGGCTATTTACCACCACTACAATTCCCTTTTCCCTCTATCAATGCTGTAAAGGAGACAAGGAGAATTAGTGCTTTGGGGCAGTAAAGGGAGAAGAGGCAATAGACACCAAAGGGAACAAAGCAGAGGTGTTTACAGTTTGGGTTTTGCCAAATAACATCCAGGAATTAGGGCAGGTTAACCTGCTGCCCAGCCCAACGGGACATGATCCTGATGTTTGTCCAAGAACACCAAACAGCTGGACACTGTTTTGCAACCCCTTTGTGTGGCACTCAGACTGCAAAGCTGAGTGGAGTTAGAGATCCAATTAAACACTTCATTTACAGAGCTGCAAGGTGCTCTTTTCCTCTGCAACAAGATTTATTTCTTACTAAACAGCACAGGAACTTCACAAGGCCACAGATAATGCCAGTTAAGGAAACAAATGGAAAATCTGCCATGAGGCTTAAAGATCTAAGTGACAGAGATCCAGCCAAATCCGAGCTAGTGTGTTCCCTGATGCAGTCAATAAGTGAGTCAGCACAAACAAGGACTTACCTAAATATATCAAGTAACGTGTAATATGTGAATCGGAATGGAAGCATTATGAAGTAGTAACCCCATCCTAACAGGCCCTGCAATTACAAATAAGGAATTAATTTTCTTAACTATACAAAAAGACTAACAGCACCAAGTCTTACAGGTGCACATGCAAATTTGTTTGTAAAACATTAATGAAAATAATACTGTATTCTAGTTAATATACATTTAAGGGGGGCTCTAGAAAGAAAAACATAATCACTGCCACATGGAGGGGACAGTCCTTTCCTCCCATTCCACTGATCAAAAGGCTTTACTACACCACAGCAAGACAGTCTATGACAAAAAAAATGTCCTCATACTGTGAATCACAGCATGGAGAAAACCTCCACAGCAGTAACAGAAACTGAAGGAATAGCTCTACATTTTGTTTTTGTAAGATAAAATATTTAGAAAGGAGATAACAGCATGCAAAGAAAACAATATCTTTCCCTGCTTGCAGGTTCTGTATTCATAGAGAGTCAGCCAAGAAGCAGGACAAAATCCACGGTAAGATAACTTGCCCTTGGCTGTGGCCTTGAGACAACGTAGCTGTAGATCCTGTGGTCAGCTGTATTGACCTGCAACGGCCGCAGGGGAGGAGGATTAAAGACACTTGGGACACCCTCTTGCTCGTTCAGCCGGTCCTGCACAGCTGCCTTTGACACAAGAAAGAGCAAAGGGAGGTTTCAGGCATTTTATGGTTTTATACTTCGGACAGTGACAGTGGGTACTACTTGTCCACAGCCCCAGGGCACTGGATAAGCACAACTCCTGACAAACAGCAAGCACCAGGGCTCTTTTCCATGTGGGAAGCCTTCTCCATGGCAGCCAGCACACAGGCTCCACGGGAGCCACATCGTGTGCCAGCCAAGGGATTGTTCCCAGCCACTCTGCTGTGTTTGGCTGAATCCAGCTCTCCAGAGGTGTGGAGATACAGCTCCAAAGAGCTACTTGGGTAAATCCAGGGGGGGACAGATTAATCTTACTGGTAGGGGCCCCCCTCCCACAGAGGGCTGCATTTAATCCAGGTGCTTGGAAACTGCTACAAGTCTCATTTTCAGTGGTACCTCTATGTTCCAGTTGTGCTGCTCCAGTGTGTGGCGACATTGGTCCATGGACTCTATGCCAGTCAAGTCCTAAAGAAGGAGAATAAAAGCAGATGAGTGGCAGGGAGTGCTGCATTCTGACTGCTCTTAACAAGGCATGAGCACATGATGGGAGTTACCACAACACATTATCACAATGCCCAGTTTTTAAGTGCCCTGCTCTGAGTTTAAGAGCAGAGTGACCCTAAACACACAGGAGGCCTCAAACAGGCCTTTGCACTCTGCCAGCACCAGCCAACTCAGTGTGCCCAAGGTCTGTCACTACAACAGCACTCAGCAGTCAAGGGTTTAACACCATACTGCCCACAGGCTTCACTCTGAAAAGATGCGCCAGGCCAATGCCCTCAAACATCATCTTGAACTCAAAATACAGACAAAGCACTTCTGAAAACTCAAGATGACTGTTACTCCACTCACTGCCAGCATAAACAGAAACTAAAACCAAAACGAGCCAGGCATTACTGAAGGTGATGTGCCCAGCACCACAGGGGAAGTAAAAAAGTATAGTAAACAGTGGAGTAAAAAAAGCAGGAACAGTCCAACACAGGGCCTGAAACAGAAAACAGTCCAAACACACCGACAAACCTCAAAGCCACTGGGTGTATTTTAGCCCCGTGCCAATCAGAATTTCTGCACAGGAGATCAAACAATCGTGTCTGTTGTTACAGGAAGCCACATCAGCATCTCCCGAACAGAGACAAAGGTCTGCTGAAGGGAACACCCCTGTCACTGTGCCACAGAAACATCTCTCCCCACTGCACTTGCTTTAAGGTCTGAGCAGATGTTTTCCCTGCTTCCTTGAAAAGCCCCTGATGCACCCCTGACAGGCTGACCAGTTAAGAATGCACTGGATTGTTTTTTTTTACTGGAGAAGGATGGTGCATCTATTCCCCTCCCTGCCCCCATTCATACATTCCACATGCCATTTCCACCCGAGTAACAAACACTGTGGACAAATGCCCTATTCAATCTCTGGGCTCAGTTCAAACTTTTGAGCATTTCTTGGCTTCTTTCTCACAAAGTCTCCAGATCAACACCTTCTCTCCAATCTACTGGGCAAAAATCACTGTTTCATTCTGCTGCACAGAACCAATCAGACTGTTTAAAGCACTGTGACTGCAGAAGTTCAGAAAAAAAAAGCACTTCAAGTCGCTGTTCAGTGGTGTATAAATATTTATTAAAAAGTAAGTCTGCTGCAAGCCTTGCAAGGGAACACTGCAGAACTGGATTTCACAGAAGAAATAAAGCTCAGTGAACTCAGCTGTTGTTGCTAGAATACCTTTTATTATCACTCAGTTTCATCATTTAATGTTTTAGTTTAGCTATATTTCTTTGAAGACCTGCTTCACAGAGTAAAATTTAGGGTTTGTATTCTGACTTTATTTTTTTATTCAATTTATTTTGCATTCTGACTTTATTTTTTTAACCTGAATGCCTATAGCAGGCACTTCATTGTCTTTTTAGAAGGACACCATGAAAGGCACCTGCAATCTACTCAATTAATTGATTTTACAGTGGAGTCACAATGTGTTTATTCCAAAGCCTTGAAACTCTTCTGATCACCACCCCTCAATACCCTGGAAATTCTGCTGGTGTTCACAAAGGTTACAAGATTCAGAAACTCATTTACACCTTTGTTTCTAAATACCTGGACTATCTGCGAGCACTAAATACATCACCGAGCATTCCCTCCTTTTTAAATGATGCAAAATTCTTCTGCAGCTTTAGGTCAGAAAGCAGCAGAGCTATCAACAAGCAGTTAATGAGCACGGAATCACTGCAGCGTTTGCCAGCCCGTCTGAGTTCCACAGAGACACCAGAGCCAGCCAACGTCACCCCTCCTGATCACCACCACACTGACAGGCAGCTCCAGCCACTTCTCAGTCTTCTACAGCAGCTCTCCAGGGAGGTGAATTTCCTTTTTTTTTTTTTTCTTAGCATCTTAATTCAGCTGCTTTCAACCCAAACCAGAAGTGACAAAGCCACTCCAAGCAGCACGGTGTGAGCGCTCCCGCCACTCGTCTGATCAATGAGGCTTCACAATTAAACACTGCAGGAAAAGCTGCCGGGCAAAGGCAGCTTTTAACACTCAGCACTTGCTGGCTGTTACTCTGGTGTGCTCCACCAGGGTCTGGGAGACACACCGGGGCTCAGAATGACCCACACCCGGTGTTAGGAATGGCAGGACCACAGTTCAACTGCCACTTCAGACAACTCTTGCTGCCAAACACTGATACTGGTCATTATCACCCCCGTGGCATTCCTGCTGCCCCTGCTTCACCAAGTCATGGAAACAGACCAGAAACTCGAAACTCCACATTACTTCCACTGCCTCAGCATCTCTGGTGAACTTCGTTCAGCTGCAAACATACACACGTGGCAAATCAGCACATTCTCAGTATCATCAGGGCTAAGAGAATAACCAGCATCTTCAAACCTTGCTGCTCTGATCTCTTATCAGCTGCCTTTAAGAGCATGGATCTTACAGACACAGTAAGTAGTTAAAATTAGTCCCATTAAACCACCACACCCAAACCTTCAAATAAATCCAAGTTCAACACAGTGGCCAATATTTCAAAAAACAAAATATTAAATTCCACAAATGCCAGAAAAGCTCAATAGTGCCTTCAGAACCACGACACAAAGCAAGAGTGTTATTGCAAAGCATAAGGAAGCTTTGGCTGGAGGTAATTATTTGTATCTCACCTTTGAGACTGCTCAGAATCTTCTCAATACTGAAGCAGTGGAAAGTACAATTTCATGCTTCAAAAGCAGAAGGAATACCCCTGAGTGGACAAAGATTGTAAACTGGACTTACGAAACCGTCGCCTCAGATCCGATGTCGACACAGCCCAGGAGATGCAAATCCACAGGAATAACTGGCACTGCTCTCACTGCCCAACCCACTGCCAAATCCCAGAGAATTACTTTCCAAGGGTAAAGAACATCTGAGTTCTAACTGGAAAAATGCCTTAACCAAGAGTTTCTCATTGCATATTACAGCAAATGCCTTTCTGAGGGTTTGATGGATACACTGAGTGGGAAAGCTGCCTGGAGTTTCATGTTTCCTCCTTCCCCTAAATCAGAGCCATATCCAGCCTTGAGCACTCTGTTTTCCCCAGCTGAAGTCACAGATTATATGAGTGCCAACTCTCTTGCAAATAACACTCCATTACTTTACATTAGCATATTACAATATCAGACATCAGCCCCAGTGTAATGGGCACAGATCAATAATCAGATCCCAGAAAAGCTGCTCCACTCTTTCTTCCATCTCCCAAATGAATCACATCTCCACAGCTTTCCTAAACTGTTCACAGCAAACTTCTCTCTCCAAATGTCAGGACAGCGAGGTCTTGACAGATGAAAAATGTAGATGCTTTTATTCCCTTACATTATTAGCCAGCTCTCTGGCAGTAAATGGGAGGCTGAAAGCATGCAAGAGGCTTTGCTGCTTTCATTTCAAGTTTATCCCAGTTCTCTCCCCTGTTTTTCCCTTTACTCACCTGCCCCAGCACGGTGCAGACAGCTGCCCTGTTCCAGCCCTGCCCACAAGAAGGAAGCTGCTGGTTTCAGCATTCTGCCAGCAAAGCTGTTTGCATGAGCACTACAGAGCCAGCACAAACAGGGGTGGAATTAATGCAGAGCAGGCACTAGGCAGAGCTGAGCCAGGCAGCTGGGCCAGGACAGGACAGGACAGGACAGCACACTCACCTCTGCCTGGAAAGGTGAGCTCTCCAGCAGAAGCAGGATGAACAGTTTAGGGGAGCAGCATCTTCAGCCCAAAGGGCTGGCTGCTGGGTGAACAGCAGCCCTTGCTCAGGGCTTCCCTCCCTTTGGCTCTCCATTTCACTGAGGCCCTTCTACTGCTCCTCACTCATCCCTGCCATGCTGCCTTCTTTCCTGGTGTGCTCTGCTGCTCCCATCCCAGTGCAGAGGGATGTAACCCTCTGTGGAAGTGCAGTGCTCTGTCACATGGAAGGCTGTACAGACCACTTGTGATGGCACATCACAAAGTGAGAAATTATCCTTGGAAACACTCAAGTGTTCCTGCAAAGGCAGCAGGGATCCCTGAAGGCTTGACTCGTGGCAATGTACAAATTATTTTAACGAAACTTAGCTAATCTCTCCAAACACCTCATTCTTCCTGTTGGAGTCTGAGAAAATAAATCTCTTCCAAGTGGACTGGTTTATGTTTGAGGAAGCAGCAGGACTCCCAGCTGAGCCCTGCTCAGCCAGGTGGGACACACCAGAGGAGAAGGAACCACCAGTGGGCTCTGCCCTGGAGAGAGCTGATCCAACACAGCCCAGAAGACAGGAGAGGGAGGATCCTGGCTGCTATCCAAGCCTTCTGGAGCACAGCTTTCACATCTGGCTCTGCACAGCAGTGAAAAAAAAAACTCTTCCCTTTCCAACCTGAGGAGTGTTTCCCTGTGCCTCAACCCAGAGCTTGACAGGAAGCTGGACTGAAGCGTGAATCCCTCCTTCTGCCTCCTCCTGGTTCTGGCAGCCCTCTGTCCCTGACAGGAGCAGGTGGCACTGGGAAACAGGATTACTGCACTCCACAGCTGCCCACAGGGGTTGCAAACAGCAGCAGAGGTGAGAGCAGCTGGTGCTGCCTGTCCAGACTGAGCAGCAGGATCTCTCACAGCAAGAGAATGGGACATTTGTTTGTGCAGAACCCTCAGCAGCAGCACAGGGACAGCAGCACCAGCACTGCCCTGTGCCCTCAGGCTGTGTTTGATCTGACTGCCCAAAGAGCTCAGCTTGCAGCAGGCTCAGAGGGGACAGCTGTAAAGCAAGGTTCCTCCTGGGCCCAGTCACAGGAAAACACCTCAGCAATTAAATTAAATCAGGGCTGTGAATCAGGGGAAGGCAGCTGTGGAATGATGAACACCTGCTCTGCCCCACCTGGGAAGGCAGGGCCAGCTGCCCCCGGAGTCCCTTTAAATCTACAGTTACATCCACCCAACTGCCAGTGCACAGCCTTCAATAAAATCGTGTAAAGCTACAAAAGCAGGCAAAGCACCCCTAAAAGTGACCACGGTGTTTGTAAGAGAACTGCAACCCAAGGGATGCCACATGATGTCCCACAGCTCAGAAACAAACCCAGGACACCCGAAGGTAATTTTCACTGCTCAGCACATTTAGTTACTCATCACCGAGCAACCCTGAGCATTTCAGCTGCCCAGCTGTGTTTTCTCCCCAACAAGCCACATCTACAGACTGTGTTTATGCTCATTCATCGGCCACACAGCCGCAGGCCTCACAGAGCAAAGGTGAGGCGACCTTGCCGTGCTGTGCAGCAGACGCAGATCAGATCGCTTCAGTCTCCAGCGGCGTTACCCAATCGCGAGGGGCAGGACCACGCTCCACACAAACCCACTGCATAACTCCCCCTCGGCGCCACGAAAGGCTCTCCAGCTACGACAAGGCGAATTTCCAGACTAATTAAAATGGCCGGGACTTACCAAGGAGTTTTTCCTGCACGGAGTTCACTGAGCAGCCGCCTCTCGCCTCCACAATTAGCCATGACAGAACGCCGCCCCGACAAAGCGTGAGGGGCACGGAAATCTCACTCACCCCGTCAGGACTGGGACCACAGGTGTCTCTCCGCTCACCGTCCCCTCACGCCCAGCTCGACACCCCGCTCCAGGACGGGCCTAGCCGGCTCTGGGAGCCCCGTACCCCCCAGCGCCGGCGGGGCGGGCCCAGCTCAGCCCGTTCCGTGTCCATGCACCGCCTCCCCCGCTCCCGCCGGCCGGCACGGGCCCCCCGGGACGCGGCACCTGGAACTGCAGCAGCTTCTCGGTCTGTTCCGCCGTCAGCTCCCGTTCCTCAGGCGCCGCCATTTTGCTGCCGCCTCTGACCCGCCGCTCCGTCACTCTCCGGAAGTGACGTCGCCCGCCCACACTTCCACCCCAGCCCCGCGCGGCGCGGCCAATGGCTGTTTATCGGCCGCCGCCGGAACTGCCGGGCCGCATTCCGGACACAGCCGAAGTGCTCTAGGGCCTGTCCGGAGATGCCCGAATCCCATCGGCGGCGGTGGCCGCTCTCGGGTTTCCCCGGCGGGCGCACGTAAAGTTCCGAAGAGTGCCGAGTACCGCTCGGGTGTTCCCGGCGGACACACGAGGAGTTCCGAAGCGTGCCAAGGGCTGCTCGGGTGTTCCCGGAACAGGCCGGGGATGAGGGGCAGCCTGTTGCTGTGGGAGCGGGCCCCGAGCCCAAGCGGGGCGGGGGGATATGAGCCGAACACCCCCCGGAGCTGGCTGTGTTCCCGTCACCGCGGGGGCTGCCAGACACCCAGCGGGTCCTGCCCGGGCACCTCCGGTCCCGTCGGGTGGGTCCTGCCCGCTACCTCCGGTCCCGCCGGGTGGGTCCTGCCCGGCACCCCTCGTCCCGCCGGGCCCAAGATGGCGGCGGCCGCTAAGATGGAGGAGGCCGTGAGGGGCCCCCGCTCCCACCCGCAGCTACGAGCGCCCGCGTGAGGGGTCGGCGCGGCGGGACCGCGGCCGGTCGAGCCCCGGGGGAGGCAGGCGGGCAGCCCCGGCTCCCCGTGCCCGCTGCGGCTGGCGGGGAGGCGGGACGGGGCCGCCCCGGCGCTGATGTCAGCGCGGCTGCCCCGCCCGCCGCCGCAGTGACAGCGGCAGCTCCGCCCGGCCGCAGTCGGGCCCAGCCCAGCCGAGCCGCGCAGCCGGACCGGGAGCGGCGCGGGCGGGCCGGTCATGGCCGACGACTTCGGCTTCTTTTCCTCATCTGAGGGCGCTGGCGCCGAGGAGGACCCGGCCGCCGCCTTTCTGGCCCAGCAGGAGAGCGAGATCGCGGGCATCGAGAACGATGAGGGCTTCGGGCCGACCGACGGCGAGGCGGCCGCCGCCCCGGGCGGGCAGGCGGCCCCGCCGGAACAGGGTGAGCACGGCCGCGGGGGCCGCCCGGCTGCGCTCCCGCTGGGCGCGGGCGGGCTCCCGACCTTGTGCGGTAACGGGGGGCTGTGCCCCCGGCTGCCCCGAAGGCAGGGAAGGGTCCTCCGGGCCGCATCCACGCGGGGCTGCGGTCCCCGGGGGATGCACAGCATCCCCGGTGGGTGATGGGGTCTGTGCTGCACCTCATGGGCTGGTGGCGGGGTGACCCTGTGGGCCAGGCTGGCATCCTAGGAAGGGTCATCTGGGCCTGTGCTTGTGCCCAAAGGGCTTTTCGAACCTCGGGGATGTGAGGTGAATCCTGAGCTGGGATGTGCCGGCCATGGGGCGATTTCTCCCCTTTGTGCTGGGTTTCCCGGGTTGGATGGACTCCCGACTCCATGTTTCAGTGCTCCCAGCTATGGCAGTGTAAAAGGCATCCAGGCGGCACTGAGGAGCAATGACAGCCTTGTCACTGTCCCCACAGACAGGAGAGCCCTTTGGGATGCAAAATGGAAGACATTGCCATTGGGAATATTGTGGTCCCAGGCCCTGGAGGTAGAATGTGCTAATTCTGCTCTCATGTGTCCAGTCTGCAGGGGCTTTGGCACCTGCTCTCTGTATGGACATAGGGGCACTGCTGGGTTAGGGAAGGAGTCACAGGGCTGTGACTCCTTCCCTAACCCAGCCCCACAGGGTCTCCTCTGTGGAGCAGTGGTTTCAGAGCTCTGCACACAGGGCCACAGAGGCAGATCTGGGCCTGGAGAGGTGTTGACAGCCACAGTGATAAATGCAGTTAGACAGGCTGGAGCTGGGTGTAGTCATGGGGCTGAGCACTTAGGGGACAGTGCTGGCCTGAGCTGCAATGGGTCTGTGCCTGCAGCTGGCTGGCCAGGAGAAGCCCTGTGGTCACTGGGGAAAGCTCAGGGCCTGGAGTGTGACTCCTTCAAAGCCTTCTCTACCCTGGCAGCAGAAAACCCCCTGCCTGGGCTGGCTTTGTGACCCAGGTGTGCAGCTCTGGGGCTGTGGGGGCAGATGGGTGCCTCATCACCAGCCCTGACCTTGCAGCTCATCCCAGGTGGGCTCCCAAGGACCTCGGCCTGCAGGCATGCGCTCCTGTCCTGGGGGAGCACAAGGAGTGTTTCCATGGCTGTGTCCCTGGAGGGTTGCCTTGGCACTTGGCTGGCAGCTCTGGGATCAGCTGTGTCCATGGGCAGCCTCTGCAGGTTGGGCTTGGTCAGGCTGTGTTTCTACAGTCAGAGCAGCAGCCTGTGTCAGTCTTGCGCCTGAGCAGTTTCCCTAATCTTCATAAGATAAGATTAAACACCAGTGAAAACACCATAAAGACATAAACGCCTGCAGAAGTTTGTGTGAGAGAGTGAGAGGTGCTCGCTGACTCCCACCAAGGACAGGACACTGGGAGGGTGCTTGCCATGGGTGTGCTGGGCTGAAAAAGGCACAGACAAACTCCCAGGAGCTGATCTGATGTTGTTTCATGAACACCAGCCCCTCTGGCATCACCTGCAGCTGCCATAGTTGTGTTTTTCCTTCTCTCTTCCTTTTTCTCGAGCAGGTTTCCAGAATGGAGGAGCCACTGTCAATGGAGATGTCTTTCAGGTGAGAGCTCAGCCTTTTGCTGGCCCAGGGCTGCTAAAGAAGATTGGGTGGTTTTGGGGCCAGCAATCTGCTGCTCTGCCCCCAGCATTGACTGGAGTTTGCTATCCAGCTGCAGAACAGCTACGGTGCTCCTGGAAAGGTCTGGGTCTCCTGTGTGAGTCCTGGCTGCTCCATTCTCTTTGAAGAGAAGATGTGTCCCACCTGCCATGATCTGCCCCACATCTGTTTGCAGGTGGCTTGTGCCATGAAGGAGTGCCTGGGCCCTGAGAGCAGGTGACAAATCGTCCATTCCCCAAGACGTCCCCTCTCTCCAGCCTGGGTAGCTTCTGGAGGCCTCTGGGGCAGGCAGGAGCATCTCTTGACAGAGGCCAGAGACAGGATAGGCCTGCCATGGGACTTGAATATCCCATGAAAACCACTTAACCCGTGGCCAGGGGCCTTTTGGGGAGACCCACCTGGGTCTCAGATCCCTTTGGGAGCCTGAAGCCCAGCTCTGCTGTCAGCAATGCCAGTATCTCACGAGCCCTTCACCCCACTTGGTGCCCAGCAGTGGGGCATATGCACTGCCCATGCCTGCTTTACAGGATGATAATCGCATCAGGAATGGGACAGACTTAATTAGATTGAGGATCGTGGAAGAAAGCTGTAATCTCATTGCTGAGCTTGGTGTCAGACTGGGCATCTGGCCAGTGGAAAGTGTTAGAGGAGGTGCTGGGCCTGGCGGGGCCCTCAGCTCAGACATGGGGGAAGCAGCTCGGTCCAGGAGCTGCCTGGGCCCCAGTGAGGACCAGGGAATCCCAGGGGAGCAGTTCCAAGGCCAGTGTCTGCCGTGTGCAGTGGGGCTGCCCAGAGGAGCAGCAGCTGCAGTGGCAGAGAGCAGCAAGTCGAGGAGGGAATCGCTGGGAAGGCTTTAGGTGACAGGGCCTGAGGCTGGGAGAGCAGCTTGGGCAGCGCTTTGGGAACGCTGTCCCTCATGTCCCAAGCTGTCACCCTTCCCACCTCCTATCTTGGCTTGTCAGTGCTGGGAGTGTGGAGTCCTGACTGCTGCCAGCCCGTGGAGGTGGCTGGGCTGGGCTCTTGGAAGCTCTGGTGCTGATGGGAGGTGCTCATGTGCTGCAGGAGTCCAACGGCCCCACGGATGCCTACGCGGCCATAGCCAAGGCCGACCGGCTGACCCAGGAACCCGAGAGCATCCGCAAGTGGAGGGAGGAGCAGAAGAAGCGCCTGGAGGAGCTGGGTGAGACCCAAGGCCACGTGTAGCCCCCTGTGCTTGTGGCACCTTGTGACATGGCACTCAGGGCCCTTGGGGTCCCTCACCTCTTGGTGACCCTGCTGCATCCCAGAGAGATGTCTCGTGCCCCTGCCAAAGATCTGCCCCTTGTGACATGGCACTCAGGGCCCTTGGGGTCCCTCACCTCTCGGTGACCTTCTGCATCCCAGAGAGCTGTCTCGTGCCCCTGCCAAAGATCTGCTATCCTTGGGGCAGTGGTGCCTTTTGGCCAGTTTGGTGGGGACTGGGGGCAGGTCTGAGGGGCTGCAGCTGTCCTGCCTGCCAAGGGACTGCTCAGCACACCCAGCAGTGCCAGTGTGGCTGATGGGCTCTGTCTCACTCGGGCCTTAGATGCGGCATCGAAGGTGACTGAGCAAGAGTGGCGTGAGAAGGCCAAGAAGGACCTGGAGGAGTGGAACCTGCGTCAGAACGAGCAGATGGAGAAGAACCGAGCAAACAACAGGTATGTCGGGGTCAGCATGGCCAAAAGGACTGTCTGCCTTTCTGGGATGTTTGAGGGCCTCTTTCCCCACAGTGGGGTCCAGCCCTGCAGGGACCTAACCTTGCCAAGCAAGGGGAGAGACCCCAAGTCTTGGAGTGGCTCTGGTGGCTGTGCAGAGCCACTCTGGCTGGAACCACACTGGGAT